GCCTTTCATCCAAATATGGCAGAACTTTCCAGGACAAGGCCAAGAACCCACCCAGTGATCAAAATGGGGAAGAAGAGGCAGGAGTGGCATGCCTAGGTGGCGGACACAGGAGTCCACTCCTGCCCCACTTCCCCAGGGGAACAGCAAGTCTGCCTTGCAGAACACAGGTCCAGCCTAGTTTTGCAGCCCTGAGTGACAGGAGCCCCATATTTTTGAAGGGTCAACTTTATATACATTTGCGTAAAACCTTATAGTTTATAAAACCATTCACATACACTATCTTACTTGATGGTTACTACAATCACATGAAGTAGATTTAACAAGGTATTATTATTCCCACATATGGGGTGTAGAAACTGAGGCTTAGTTACTTATTTGAAGATAAACAGAGCCATACATCTTTAAGGTTGTAGGTTATTGCTCTTTCAAATATAGGTAATTATTTTGTTGATGTATGATTGTTTCTAAGGTTAAACATATGAATTTAATAAAACAGTTTTTGTGTTTGAGGTGGAATCCTTGATTTTATATTTTCTAAAATGTCATTGAAACCTCATTTTATAAAAGCTTACTATGGTAGATTGTTAATTCTACTTTCATGACCTTGAACTGCACATTTCACACCAATTGAGTAATTTTGCCCTAGTTGATTTGCCATGAGAACACTTTGGACTTTGATAAAAGGCCCAACTGTTTGGTGACTTTCTTTTCAGTTTTTTTTTTCAACTGCTTTGCTGGATGATCACTTAGTAAATACATAAATGCAATGCTTGTGGCTGTACTGATGGAAAAAAAAACCAAAAGGAAATTTGATTATCCTATAAGAAAAGCTGGGATATGTAACAATATTAGTAGTAGCAAATAGTAGGTACTCAATAAATATTAGTTAATGAATATATTTTTGATTCATCAATGAGCTCATTGATTTTCAGAAGTTATGCTATTATTAGGAAGAAAAGATAAAAGCATGAAAACCTGCCGATTCTAGGATGACAGAAAGTGTATAAATAGATTATACTATAATAGGTAACCCTGAAATGAGAAATGCATACTTGCTGTCAGTAAAATTCACACTGGTTCAGAGTAAGCTCTTGGTATAGAGATTTTGCACTAATTCACTAATGTCAAATATATTACAGAACTTTTATTATTTGCCAGATTTACTTTTCTGTCTTTTCTTCATTTACTGAGCACCAGTTGAGGGGTACAGAGAGTAGTGCCACCAAGGTTTAGAGGAAAGAGCCTCCATTTACTACAATATTTGTGGAGGAAGTGAGATTATCTTTATCTTTAGGTGTAAATAGGACCTACCCAAGCAGAAAGGTTTGGGGAAGCATTCTGGACAAATGTAATGGCAATAGGAAAATATACAGGGGATTTAATTTTGATAAGAGCTAAGGGCTTGCATTGGGCAAAAAATGGCTAAAGATGTGATTTGGGGTCACATTATTAAAACCTTTGAATTCCTGGAAGAAATTTGGATTTTTTTTTCTAAGGTTGTACTCTTTTAATTGTGGTATATATTTTCATGAGGGCACAGCCATATGGGATAATATGCAAGTCCACAGGATAAATATGATGCATCTTCCAGGAATATCACTTTTTAGAAGATTTGAGGAAGAACTATTTTTATATGAAGATAGATTTATAGAATAGGAAACAATGTAAGTGCAATTTTAAGAAAAGATTCTAGATTCCTAATAAGATTCTAGAAAAAATTTGTGCTTATATCAAGCCATTTCATTTTGTATCTCCAGAACTTGTAAGGATATGTTTTCATTATCCTCAGCTGTTATTTTCTTTTAATAGACAAGTTTGAACAAGGTAAATGAAAAGTTTGAGTTGTCTTAGTAAAAGAGATAATTGAAGTTTGTGCATTGGCTCATAATGCTAAATACTAGGAGGGCATAGGGCTATAAAGAGGGATTCAGATTAGGGAGAACCCTTGGAGAGTGTAATAGTATTATGGAAGCAAAATGAATGTCAAGTTGAAAAAAGAATAATGTTTTTAGTAAGTAGAGTGATAAAAGGGACTGTGAACTAAGATCCTACAATTGTGAGTGGTGAAATAAGAGTACTTTAGCAAAGTAGTGAGGACAGAAGGACACAAGTTTTGTGAACCACAAAGAAAAATAATCCTTTTTACCAGAATTAACTCTCGATCTGAGCTTTAATAACCAGATAAAAATAATTTAGTACTCCTAAGAGGAACAAAATGAAACATACTGTGTGAGATTCATAAAAAAATTAGAGAAGAAGTAGAGAAAGCAATTGGCATATTCAATAATGAATTATTTTCCATTTTAAATCTTCCAATTTTTTTTTGAAAACAAACCATTTGGCATTTTGGTTCAAAAAAGTCACTTTTGACTTCTTAGCTGTGGTTCTGAAAACTAAAATTTATTTTTGCTTTTGTTCTTTTGTACTCTTGGATAAAATTTTTATGTAGGATCCACATAGATCATATTTATAGATGTCATAAGAAATGCATATGACATGTATATTGGGTAATTAAAAATACATAATGCTGACTTGGCTAAGATGAGTCACTATATAACTTGGGCACTATATCCTTTAAAAACTGGATTAAATCGTGGGACTATATCAAGCTGAATAGCTTCTGTACAGCAAAGAATACCATCAATAGAACAAAAAGGCATCCTACAGTATGGGAGAATATATTCATAAATGACAGATCTGATAAAGGGTTGACATCCAAAATATATAAAGAGCTCATGTACCTCAACAAAACAAAAAGCGAACATCCAATTAAAAAATGGGCAGAGGAGCTGAACAGACACTTCTCCAAGAAGAAATTCAGATGACACATGAAAAGATGCTCCACATTGCTAGTCATCAGAGAAATGCAAATTAAAACCACAATGCAATATCACCTCACACCAGTAAGGATTGCCACCATCCAAAAGACAAACAACAACAAATGTTGGTGAGATTGTGGAGAAAGGGGAACCCTCCTACACTGCTGGTGGGAATGTAAATTCAACCATTGTGGAAAGCAGTATGGAGGTTCCTCAAAAAGCTCAAAATAGAAATACCATTTGACCCAGGAATCCCACTTCTAGGAATTTACCCTAAGAATGCAGCAGCCCAATTTGAAAAACACAGATGCAACCCTATGTTTATCACAGCACTATTTACAATAGCCAAGAAATGGAAGCAACCTGAGTGTCCATCAGTAGATGAATGGATAAAGAAGATGTGGTACATATAAACAATGGAATATTATTCAGCTGTAAGAAGAAGACATCCTACCATTTGCAACAAGGTGGATGGAGCTAGAAGGTATTATGCTCAGTGATATAAGCCAGGCGGAGAAAGAGAAGTACCAAATGATTTCACTCATCTGTAGAGTATAAGAACAAAGGAAAAACTGAAGGAATGGAACAGCAGCAGAATCACAGAACCCAAGAAAGGACTAAAAGTTACCAAAGGGAAAGGGACTGGGGAGGATGGGTCGAAAGGGAGGGAGAAGGGTGGGGGAGAAGCAAGGGGGCCTTACGATTAGCATGTATAATGATGTATAATGTGGGGGGAGGGCATGGAAGGGCTGTGCAACACAGATGATTTTACAGCATTTCACTATGCTGATGGACAGTGACTACTGGGGTATGTGGGGGGGACTTGGTGAAGTGGGGAGTCTAGTAAACATAATGTTCCTCATGTAATTGTAGATTTTTATATATATAAATTCTACAAAGATGACTAAAGTAGGAAGGTTTTTCAACTATGATTTGGTTTACTAAGTATTCTTCAGTGTCAATAGCGTGAAACCCATGGAGAACTCATCTTTTTGAGAATGTTATAGTTGTTCCTAGTTTATAACTGAGGCCAGAGAACAAACCATGATGTTAAATAAAGTTGTTATATATTTGGAAAAAAAAATGGATTAAATTGAAATTTTATTATTTTTTTGGTAGTTTCTTTTAAAAATTATTTTAAATACTGACAAGTGATATTATGAAAAGATTTGCATTTACTGATCCTTAAGGATTTAGAATTCAAATTATTTATTATATAAATTACTAGAAATAATGTAATCACACTTCTATTAGGCATAAAAAAACAAGAATTTTAATTTAGGGAACTGAGTCTTTATTGAGTTTAGAAACATATATACACGTCTGTCAGGCTATTTAAACATTCGATCATTTGTGATTTTCTAATTCTTTTTGAAAACCTACACATAAATATTAGACTAACACCATGTCCAGGGGGAATAAATTATTATACTTTAACTTGATGTCACAAATACATGCATTCTCATTGTATTCTGACAATATCCCTTTAAAATTCTTTTCACAGTATTAAGTGTTAAAATACATAAGATGTCTACAGTATAGATAAGTTAACAAATTTGTTAAAATACAGTAATACCTGATATTAAAGTCAATATGACTTAGTAATCATGATCTACTGCATTTAAGACTGAACTATTACAGTACAATATTTCATCCTGCTTCATTTAGCTTCATAAGTAAAGCATACCAAATATTTACTCCAAATTATTTTTGTAGCAAAACAAAGCATCTGTTTTAAAATTCATATTGTTTTTGCATGTACTCTGAACTGACTGAATTTTACTTTTGAAATTGATATTATATAAGAATGGTACAGTTATCAGTCCTTAATATTTATTTAAGTTTAGAATTTTAGCAGAAAACTAGTCTTATAAACTAGAGACGTTGTGAAATTGCCTCCATGATAAAGTTTACAATAGAAGTTTCTTTATAAGTTTTTTATTTAAGCAAGTTATCTAAAAATTCACCCATTGGTTAAAATTTATATTGTAACCATTTAAAATTGATTCCCCCACATCACAAAATATGTGAATAAATGAGATCTTAAGAGTTTTGAAAAAGATAACTTGTGTTCTTTGAGGTGATATGATGATATGTTTAAGTTGATAGTGGCTTTAAAAGAAAGAATCTATTTCTAAAGCCTTTTATTAGGGATTTCATACCATATCATTAAAACACAGGTTGGGATGTTTAATGTTTATTGTCTTTGTAATATGCCTCAGTTCATACAAAGCTTTGTGAATCTGTTGGACGGATCAACATTTTGGTTGATTTGATGAAGTGTAACTTTCCATTTTGAGACTTCCAACATATTCCTCTTCTCTCTGGCTTAGTTTTTGCTCTTGCCTTGTTATATTTACCATTTAGGTTGTTTTCCCCACATACATTATGCCACCACCAACCACCTAGAAAATAGATATGCAGTTTAAAGGATACAACTGTTACTATATTTCCCCAAGAGTTTATCTTCATTTCTTATAACTCTGACACTGTTGTGTACATGTATCTCCATTTTAAATTTTAAATAATTTGTGTAAGTCTCACATAGACCATCAAAAATAAAATATCCAGTAAAGGTTAGAGGTAAAATACTTAGTTGAACTAGAATCAAATTAACACTTACATTAAATGATTTTTGCCTATAGAAAAATGTTTATTTGGGATTCAGAATTTAAAGAGTTGACATTGTAGATATTGGCTAATACCTTGAGAAGGTATTTTGAAGGTATGAAAACAGTATTGATGTTAGTAAAAGGATACCTGAATAACTTTCTGGACAGTTGACATGTCCTTTTGCTTTGTGATCCCAAGTAGAAAACACCAAATCTTTGTGGTCCGGGAGTACTCTGGGGCCATTGCCAGTAATCTCAGCTAGGTGTAGCATATAGTTGGTTTCATGATTTCCCAAGTGAAAAGAATACTCAGTATAATGCTTGTTGTCTTTCCAGTCTTCTAGTTCAACTCGTAAAATGTAATTAGATTGCTTTACTACGGAGTATATCTTCTCTAGACCCATCCAAAATTCTCCTGAAAAAAAAATTGTAAGAATGTGTGCATTGTTAACTGCAGATTAGGTGTCTACAGTTCTGGGGTTTTTTGGGGGAGTTTTTTTATTGGTGTAGCTAAATGAGTTGTTTCAGTCTCCAATCCTTTGACTATTTTAGAGTCTCTTAAAAATACTACTTTTTAAAACAATTTTATTGAAGATAGTTGTCTGTACAAAAAAATGTTTAAAATATTTAATAAGTCTGCTTAAAGTCTGGTTATCCTTTCTAAAATGGATATTATAAGATGTATTTCACAGGTAAAACTTACTAGGCTATTATAGATATTTTTAGGTCTAATCATTGGTAAAATATCTCACTTCCAGGTCTTTATATGTACTGGCTTTACTTTTAGCTATTTAGTAATACCCATACAGTATCAAGAGATGTGTTAATTATTTTGAGTATTATATCCACTACCATTATATAATAATGTCATTTTCCTCATATATAGCCTTGGCCTTTGATATTTGCTTGATATGTATTTTTTCTTTGTAGAAAAAGAAGAGAATCAGTTTCTAAAAACATTTCAAATGTAAAAGCATAATTAGTAACTTTTCTCTATAATTTTAGAAATTATTTTTATTAGGAATTAAATACAAATAGATGTCTCTAATTATCACAATCCACTTATTAAAAGTATTTTGGGAATAAAGGCACATTTCCTTGTTGAGTTAGTAGAGACTTCACTTTAAAGATTGGAAGTATACATGGCTTACTTTCTTACAGAAATAAGTAAGTACTCTTGATTTCACCATCAACCTTTTATTTTTGGGTTATGCTCAGTCTTAGAAAAAGATTTGTAGCTACACTTCATATTGAATGTACTTTTTAGTTAGGGATTTAACTTAGTTTGAATATAAAATTTTTAAATGGTCAGATAGTACTACTTAAAAATATGATACAATAATGGATGTTTTCTACTTTATAAATGAGTACATTCATAAGATTTTTTTTATTTTTTATTTTTTTACTTTGGTATTATTAATATACAATCACATGAGCAACATTGTGGTTACCAGATTCCACCCATTGTCAAGTCCCCACCACATACCCCATTACACTCCATTCATAGATTTTTATAATACGCTTTTTGGATTTTAAACGGTTTTTTATTATTTGTGATCGAAATTAATTTGCATTAACTCATTTTAAACTGCACATTTATAGTATACATTTTATAGTATTTAAATAATTGAAATCTGAACATTTTATTCTGTATATCTGACAGCTTTCTTGTTCCTTCCAACCTCCAAGTAATTGATATTTAAAGTGTTAATATGAAAGTAGAGTGACCATGATAGGGATGGTTCTTCGTAGCCCCTTACTAGCTTTTACTACCTAACCAAAGCAATGAACACTTAACCATAATTATCTTTAATAATTACAATCATGCTAATTATAAGCCATTGAATTAAGATGTAATAAGTATACTTAAGAACAGACATGGAATGATAAATAAAATTCAAATAAATATACTTTTAATAAGTGTAATTACTACAAATAAGGTATTTGATGATAAGTTCTCTGAAGGCTGGGAATGTTTCTCATTCATTGTTGCATTTCTCATGCCCAGTCCATAATAGGTTCTCAATAAAAATTTTTAAATTAAGTAAATGAATGAATGGATGAAGTCATCTTACCATCAAGCCTCCCAAAACCATATTTGTAGTTTACCCAAGTTTCATTGAAGTTTTGTGATCCATCTATTCGGTATTGAATTAATGTCCATGAATTACCTGAATATAATGAATGAAATCATGTTTTTATTACAGTTTAATGCTGACAGGTGTAACAAAATACTTTGGGTTTGGTTTAATTGGTGACTGACTGTGTAAGGTATTTATTAGTGTTTTTATGGTAATAACATTTTATTATTTATCATGGTCCCAAGAAGTTAAGTAAAGAGCAGCTAATGAGTTTATCTTAACAAACTTATTGACAGTAGCCATCTCAGTTATTTTAAGGGAAAAAGAAGGGGAATACTAAATAAATAAATAAATAACATGAGTAAACAAACAAGACAAATATAAGTCCTAGTCTATATAACTACTCATGATATATATATCTCTCATTTTATATATATTCAGGACAAAGATAACAGGATTTGTCTTAGTAATAGGTAGTTAGTAATCCGAACTAAATACTATCCTTTTTCTCCTTAGACTAGTTTTACCTGATTTAAAATCACAGTAGACATTAAAAACTTGAGAGTTGTTGGGTCTAATGGAATAGATGCCACTTGTATGTTCTCCTCTGTTATAAATGGTAGTACAATCAGCAGTAATATCTAGAATCAACAAAATGTTATTACATATGATATAGTGATAAAAATGATATCTTTAGAGTTTGAGATTTTCCTTGACTTTCATGGAATAGTGGTAAATGTAGCTATCAGCCTTTTTCAGTAATACATCACTACATTTCAGTAAGCGAAGTAACGTTTCAGTAAATGCTAAAGCATTTTTATTCCATGGCATGTTAAACAAAGAATATCAAACTGATTTTTTTTAAGAAAAGTAAAAAAATGAAAATTTTAAACACTTTTTTTTTTTTACTAGATATAGGAAGTATAAAAAAATCACAGATGAGACAATAATATAATGCTTGGTGCATAGCAGGTAGTTAGTAGATATATGTGGAAACAGTGAATATGCAACTAACAGACCTTTTTTTCTGCATTAAGTAAATAAAAACTGAATGTATTTGAAAGTGTATCACTTTGAAATTTGGTTGGGAATGGTGACTTTGTTTCCCCATCTTTTTGTTTTTCTTATGAAAATTTTCAAACAGGAAAGTAGAAGCATTGAAGAGAATACCATAATCTTTCCATCTATTTCAACAACTTAAAATTCTGCCATAGTTGCTTTATAAATAAATATATCCACAAACGTGTGTTTTTCTGTGCAGTTTGAAAGTAATTTGCAAACATCATGACCCCTTAGGTATTTCAGCATGCATTTCTTAAAACATGAGATTATTCTGTTACCTAACTGTAATACCATTATTACATCTAAGAAAATGAGTAATAATTCCATATCTAGTATCAGGTCCATATTCATATTTCCCTGAATGTCTTAAGAATAGGTTTTGTAGGGTTTCAAAAACCCACTAGGACCAATTTAGGTTGACATACTGTGTTTGGCAGATTTGTCTCTTAACTCTCTTTTAGTGTGGAACAGATCCTGAGAAATAGCAATTTTTAATAGAAATGTTGAAGATAGGATTTGATGATAATAGCTTCAAGATGGAAATCCACCAAATTGTCTTACCATCATGTTCTACATTTTTTGTTGCATTCAAGTGAAGAGTGGGAGTAGTTCTTGGTGCTCTTGGTTTAGAAGGAAGAGAATTTTCAGTGGATTCTTGAATCCCAGTTCTTCTTAACTGATAAAAGAATATAGTATTGAGTATTTAGTTAGGGGACTCTTGAGTAAGGATATTAAAAGTACAACTTACATACATCTTTTGGTTTATAAATATGTTACTGCTTTTGATGTTAAGAGGGATTAAACAATACAGATTACTTGTTTTCACAGTTTTTAATCAGGCATTCTATTTAATGAGTTCAAAAAAATAGAGGAAAAAGGAGAGCAAGACAAAAACCAGAAATTGGTCAAAAAAACAAAAAAACCAAAGGCAGAGACTTTACTTAGAATATTTTAATATGTTATTTATTTATATGAATAGATTTTAAATTAATAATTCTCAATTGTGGACCTTGTTCATTTGCAGACCCGCCATAAAGTCATAACACAATTTGAATAAGGGTGCTTTCTTTATAGTTTTTGGTATGTAAACTTACCTGTATAGAGGTTTATTTGCTTACTTTCAGTATAGTCAGTATTTCATTGTTTATGGATAACAGCTTATTACTTAAAGTGTGCTGTGTTTGCAATTTATTGACTGATAGCTTTTCTTACTGATGGGCCGAGAAAAGCAGAACATGTAATGTCTTGCATTGTTTTTTAATGTCAACATAAATGATATTTCCTAGGACATAATTCATAAGGATCTGTTGTAAAAGTTCACTTACTGGATATTACTGTTTTCTACTATAACTGATTTCAAACTCACTTAACTTTTTCATGATTTGGTTTCTTAATTTAAATTTGAGGAATTTGGATCAGATGATCTAAGGCATCTTCCAACTCAGATACTCATTATTTTGAATTCCTCATACATTTTCTTATTAGATAGGACAGGATATATATCATTTTATAATGACATTTTGCTTTTGTGATCAGGTTCATTTACTCACAATAAAAGGGAAGAAGAACTTAGAAAAATAGCATATAATAAGGAAGTTATGGAAATCAAAACTAGTTGACAAAAAATAACTTTTTTGGACAATGAGGAAAAAGAACCTAAAATTAAGTCATAAAAATACTGAAACAGATTAATATGTTTGTATTCATAGAGCTTACATTCTAGTACAGGGACATACAATATAAGTAATTAAAATACACATTATATTAAATAGAGGTAAATGTTAAGGGAAAAAGAAGAGTAATAAAGGAGGTAGCAGTTTCAAGGATGGGTGTAGGGGACTGTCATTTTTGATTAAGTGACATGGGAAGGCTTCACTGTGAATTTTACATTTGACAAAGACCTAAAGGAAATGAGAGCGGCCATGCAGATAGCAGAGCGTTCCAGACAGAGGAAACAAGAGCAAAGGCCCTGAGATGGCAGCATGTGTGATGTGTTTGAGTGGCAGTGAAGAGGCCGGTATGACTAGAGGAGAGGAGAGGAAGTCAGTGAAATAATAAAGAGTCATCTGGGGTTACAGGCCACTGTGAACGAGCAGGAAGCCATTGTGGGGTTTGAACCAAGAGGTGATCTAATTTAAGTTTTAAAAGAATCAACTTTGGCTGCTAAATTAAGGATATACTTTGCATGGATTAATTTTTTTTTTCTCACAACAACCCTAAAAGTTAGGTTCTGTTAATATTTTCATAGAATTAGTGAGGAAACTAGAGACAAAGGGGTTAAGTAATTTACTCAAAGGTCACACACAAGTTTCAGAGTCAAGACTCAAACTCAGGTAATTAAGTAGCGTCAGAGCATGCAGTCTTAACAGTCACATTGATGTGATCCTTTTACTCACTACTCAGCTATAATTATTTTAAGTAGCTTCAGGGTCCAGTGTTTTCATAAACCTAAATTTTATATAAAAGATTGGACATGCCATTAAAATACTGACTTACCTGATTTTCTATTTCTTTAATTTGACTATGCTGTTGGTTTAATTGTCTGTATTGTTCTTCAACAGTGTGGAGAAGGTCTTTGATGCTATTATCTTGCTGTTCTACAAAAGTCTGGACATAGATTGTAGGTTAGTTAGAAGTTTCTTTCTTTCATTTTTCTTTATTTTTTTGTTAAATAAGACTTTAATTTCCTATAACGCTATTACAATCCAATTTTTTAAAACAAAAGTGGATTATGAAAATGAATATTGGCAATAATTTTTCCCTTGTATGCGTCTTTCAAATAGTACATACTTTTGTTTTATGTTCTTTTTAAATATACCGTCTCTAAAATCTGATTTCTTGAACTTCAAAGTACTCCAGTTAAGTGAAAAAAAAAAACCCAGTATTTTAATAGAAACAAATCTTTACCATTTACTATATTACTTTTATCCACTATAAACATGGGAGAATGGTTTCAAATTATATTCCTTTTCTTGTCTCCAATAATTTGCAGTACTGTAACAATTTAGTATCCAAAATTTTATTACTTAACTGATTTGAATTTTCATCTAAAAATAAAGTAGTGTTGTTTTCATATATAATGTTAGGGAAACATGAAAAAACAACTTGAAATTATAATGGGAAAATTTTTCCTGGAGGCTTTTTTTCTTGAGAAAAATATATTTCATCAGTGCAATAAAGTATTTCAAATAGCATGCCTTAAAATATTTTTTTTAAAAGATCCACAGTAAAAACAATCATGAAACCTCATTGATTTCTACTTACTTTAAGTGAAGTTACTTCAGGGTGTTCCTGAATTTCAGATTGATTTTTAATTAAATTGGTTAGTTGCTTCTCCAAATATTTCACTTTTTGTTGAAGGAGAACTTTTTCTTCTAGGAGGCTTTCAAGCTTTGAGTTGAGTTCAAGTGACATATTCTTCACTTCTTCATTTTTGACTTGCAGTTTGGATGTAGTTCTTCTAAGTTCCTTTTCTTCCTCTTTGATTTCATTGGTTTGCAGTGATAGGTCATAAAATGACTGATCAAATATGTTGAGTTTTTGAAATATGTCATTAATTTGGCCCTTAGTCTTATGGACAAAGTCTTTAAGACCATGTCCTAACTGAAGGAGGCCATTGGCTAAAATTTTTACATCATCTAACATAGCAAATCTTGATTTTGGCTCTGAAGATTTAGAATCAAATGATGGAAGTTCTTGGTCAGTTCTTGAGGAAATAACTAAAGGAACAATAAAAAGAAGGAACTTAATCATGTTCATTTTTATTCTAATTACTCAGTTTCAAGCAATTTGGAACTAGTTTTCTCCTGCAAGCAGACCTAGTCTTCTAAACTCAGTATATACCACTATTTGCCATATAAACAGTAAGGTTGGCAGGTGAACATTGTTAATCATTAAGCTGTGTAAACTTGTACGAATGTAACCTTCCACACTGAGTTAGATCAATGCTAAATGAAATCAAAGAAATGGGAAACTAAATAGGTCATTTAAAACTGTTACTGTATTTAATTTTCCTACATTATAAATGTCACATTCAGTGTTATGAGATACAACTGTTTTTAAAAGCTTGTTTTAATTTGTCATTATTTTTAAAGAGATTTTAAAGTAAATACCACACTTTTGACTGGTAAATTCATCATTGGAGTTGAGGAAAAATTAATGAATTAAGTATACATTTCCCAAATTGTATTTTAATTTTTTTGGAAACAGTTTCCCATCCCCCAAAAATGTCTTTGCTGTATAGCTTCTCTCCACTTTTTTGGCTGGTGTTAATGGCTCTCAATGCTAAATTCCCATACATATAAGCTAACACATGACTATGTATTCCTTATTATTTATCACTATAATTATTTGTTAGGTCTTTTTTGCTACATAGGATCTATCTTAACCATATTTGTATATTTTCACAAAATCCCATACATTAAAAGGCATTTCACCCCTTTTCTTCATTACATTCAATGTCTCTGTATTGTAGCCTCTTTTACATTTACCCACTGACAGGCCAATAGATTATTTGGTCTTCTAAGATCAAACCCAGAATTAAATACTTCCAATGTCAGAAACTATTTGCCCATTATAAATTTTCCTGAAATCTGTGAATTTTTGGTAATAATTTTGATAATATAAATTTAGCAAAACCAGTTAATACTATTTTTAAAAATTAATGTTTCACTATGCTTCTTAGAGTTAAAAGGAAAAATTAAATGCTTTGGTTAAATTATAAATTATTATCTTTCTTGGGTATTCATATTAAAACTTTTTAAGTAAACACTAACTTTTAAAATGTCTTATCTTGATGAATTAGCATATTAAAAGTGTTAATAGTGGGAGCTTAGGAATCAGACTGTGGTCTGGGTCCAAAAGCTAGCCGTAGCTGTCCAGCCTTGGACAAGTTTCCCAAAATCTCAGTCTCCTCATTTGTAAGTTGAGGTAGTTATAGTACATGCTTAATAGAGTTATGGGAATTAAAAAAATATATGTGTGTTAAGTATTCAGAACATGTCTGGCAAAAAGGAAATATTTTAAATGTTAGTTATTATACCACATGAAATGACCTTTTTACCTGTGTGTGGTGTGTATAATCAGCCTTTTCTAAAAGAAATTTAACTTAATAGTTTTTTGCAAATGGGAAAATTTTAATATTACAGATTTCAGTTTAAGTTGTAAATTGTCAAGCAAAATTTCACAGAATGAACTATTTCCAAAAATTTCTGTTCTTAAAAATGCCTTTTCCTGGTATAAAACAGAAGCTCTTGATGATTTAGGATTAAGTGCTTATGATATAATAGTTACAGTAGAGGTAATATACCATAATGGTTAATAGTATGATCTGCAGAGAGACTGGCTGAATTGTAATACTGGATCTGCGATTCTTCAGTTCTGTTACTATTGGTCAAATTACATAGACTATACTTAATATTTTCTTGTCTGTCAAATGAAGATAATACATACTTAAAGGGTTGTATAAGGATTAAAATTAATATTTTTAAAGCACTTATAACACTACCTAGTTATACAGTATTATGTATTAACTATTTTTTTTGTAATGAGAAACAATGCATTATGCTCATACTGTAGTATTTTATTTGTAAACATAAATCTCATGTTAAGATAACCTAAGTGAGGGAATTTTGGGAATTTTGTTAGAATCTAGGTTTTCTGAGTTTTGGTCTCTTGGACCTTGGTAAGTACAGAGAATTATGTCTTTTGTTTAGCCTGTGTATACTTTTTCTAAATGTTTCAGTATAAAATGATATAAATGTTTCTGTTTGTAAGAGAATTCAGCAAATATATACCATAAAAATATAATTTATCTATATGTAAAGAACTGTAAAAATATGCAAACACTTCCATGAATAAAGAAGAAAAATGGAACAATTTTTCTTAGTCTTCATCTTCATCTTGCCACTTACCACTAATTATGTTATAGAATTTTAAAAAGTGCATGTTGAACTAGTGAAGAAATTTGAATTTTCTCTCCCCTTTTTAAAGTAAAAAGTATTGTGATCAGTGGTCATGAGGGCATATTTCGAAACTTCTCTTAACTAAACTGTCTGCTTTTCTGGCTTAAAACTATTGACCCTGGAATTTCATCTACCTTCTAGTTGAGGGGAAATTGAGATGAGTTAACTTCTCATCTCTGTTGCACTAGAAACTGTTTATTGGCAAGATCTTTATCTGTTTTTTAATCTATATCCCTTACAGCACTTTAGTACAGTGTCTTACAGGTTGGAGAAACAGTAAATACTGAGTGAATAAGAGAATGATAGTCATAACATGCAAGTTTTCCAGGCACCAAATTTGCATATAGTAGATCCTCACCCCTTTTTGATATATAGGAGGCTCTTTTTAAAGAAAGGAGTTTGAAAAGTAGTCCTTTCCAGTGCATGAAAGTAACTGAACAACTAATACCAAAGAGAGGCTGTGTGAAGAAATTTCCTTTCATTTTGGTTATCATACTAGAATATTAACACTTCTTGCATAATTTATGCAATTTATCACATGTAACACTAACAGATATTTAGAGGAAATAGTCACATATTCTTGGTTTACAGTATATTGTCTCTGGGTAGAAATATCTGGATATATATTTTTCTTGTAGAAGTTTGGCATGTTATTGAGTATAATTAAAGTAAATTGCCTAATTACAAGCTATAGAAGAGTATCAACATGAAAAATGTAATGAAAGTAATAATTTTATGGATGATTTCACATCTACCTTTCGATGCCTCCTGAGTGTACATTGTTAAAGGCAGAATCTAATCTTGAAGTTGTGCCTCTTTAAATAGAACCTTGGTAAAAAAATGTTATAAAAATTAAACATTTTTATGCAAAAGAAAATAAGCTGAGCAAAATTAGGCCCTCATCTAAGTATTCCTAGTTTCTAAGAACTAATACACAAAAATTCTTAGCTGCCTTGAATTTTAGGACATTTAGGAGCCTTGTTTAAATTCCAAGCAAAGCAAAGTCCTTTAGCCTCCCCCAGGTTGTGCAATCCTATGGAGATAGGACTTAAAAATAAAACACAAGGCATTTTAGATTTTTTAAATATAGTATCTGTTTAATTTCTTCCTTTTTAAATGTGATCATTTGTTTTTGAATTTATAAGTTTGTTAGAACAATTCAGAAAGCAATCATTTGAGAAAAACACATTTATAAATAGCAATGCTATATTAACTAAAGAATAATGACCAAGTAATATATTACTTCCCCTTTCTTCTCTTTGTCCAGAGGAGCCCTGCCCAATGAAAATACATTATGTGCTATATATGTAAAAGAGCTTAAAAGAAGCAAGCAAAATTCATTTTAATAGCCTATTTTATTTAATCGAATTTATCAAAAATTACCATTTCAGTATGTGACTACTATAAAATTATGAATTAGATATTTATTTTCTTTTTTCATGTAAGCCTTCTAACTCTGGTGTGTATTTTATACTTTCAACATATCCCAGAACAGGCACATCAAGTGCTCAGTAGTCTTACTAGGTAGGCCATTTTATTGGACAGTGCAGATCCAGAAGATGAGTGACCTTTGAGGAAATAATTTTGTCTCTTTTTTTCACTACTGATAATAAATGTTAATTTTTTTTCACTACTAATAAATGTTAAATTTTTCATGTTGAAAGTACTTGTCATGGAAACCCAGGTATTTCAAAAACCTTTACAAAAATAAAAATCCTGACTCTTATCCATTAACATTTTGGAGTCTATCATACCAGAGATTTCTTAGGTGACTAGCTAAATATACATTCTTTTTAACACAGATGGGATCATGTTATGTATAGTTCATGTTAAATATATAAATCAAGACATTAATATTTTAAGATTTATTTTCATGTGAGTGACTATACATTTACCATATCTTTTTTAATGGCTGTACAATAGCTTATTATATTGGCACACATAATTTAATTACTCTTATCAGTGATCATTTGTTTCCAATTTTTTAATTATAAACTATTCATAGAAAAGTCTTTATATGTGTATGTAAAGATTTGCGTAAAAGTTCATAGATATTGACTTGGCAAATTATGATTTCTCTTGTTATTACCCTTCAAAAGTGTTGTACCAATATCTATTCCCTACCAAGAGTGTATGAGAAATACTCCTTTCCCATGAATTTTTACCAATACTTTGAATGAGAAAGACAAAAAATATCAATAAATCTAGTAGGCAAATATATCTAGTTTATTTTGCTGGCCATTTATTTTACTTTCTTTGAATTAATTGAGTATTATCTAAGTCCCCCATAAAACTCCTCTCCTGCTTTTTTTGTTTGTCTCTTTCTGACTAATTTTAGGAAATATATACTTACATATTATGGATACTAACTCTTTGTCATATATATAACAGTGTTTTTCCAGTTTATCATTTGTCTTTAACCTATGTTTATGGTATCACCTGCTTTGTAAAGGCTTTTAAATTTGTCTTTTACAACTTTTGTGGGTCATGCTCAGAAATGCCTTCCTCACCTATAAAATATGGCCTTTTAAAAGCATTTCTAGTATTTTAATAGTTATATTTTATTATTTAAATCTTTGATTAATCTGGAATTAATTTTGAGGAGGGAGTGAAATAGGAATTCAGCTTTTTTTCCTAAATAGCTAGTTACTGTCTCAACACTTTTCATTAATCTATCTTCTCTCTGCTCATTTGAATTTCCTCTAAAGGAGTATTATCAATGCAAAGTAAAAACTTACTAGGTTTATGTGGGAATCTGTTAGTGGAGTTAGTAGTCAAATAAGAATAAATCTTGATTTGGTTGCATGCCTTTCACCTTCACAGACAAGTTGAATTTAAAATCATACTGCTTATATTTGAAATCAAACATAGCTTA